ACGACTTGAACAGCTCTACTCTATTAATTCCTAGATAAGATTTACGACACTTTGTTGCAAAACGACATAATGCGGCGAGACACATAGCTAAGAGCCCCCCCGCGCCGGGTAGTGACGCAGAGACGACGACTCGATATACCGGAGGAGGACAGGTAGGCCATCATGCACGTCCATCGGTTAGGCCGCCGCTGGCTGCCAGCGTCGTCGTGCTGGACATACCGCTCCATTGTAGCCCTCCCAGGCCCCAGGGGCCCCAGGGGCAGAGGCATGCGCGTCATACAGCAGCCGCCGCCCGCCCGATTGCTGGAGTAATCAGTTGGGTCGGAGTGTAGACAGACAGCAATAATGTCGTGAAATATAAGGACAAGTGGGGGCCGGCCCCAATATTAGTGCGAGAGACAAAAGTCATCAAGGGCTTGATTGGGTACGACAAACTATTATTTGACGCACACCCGCATCGTGCTGGTGGTGGTCATCATACAAAAAAATCAAAATGCCCATCTGTGGTCCACCCATTCGATGTCATGTTTCTTTTCCCATTACTTTGTCTCTGTTATTGTATCATTGTATTTTCTTGTTTGTCCTTTATTATTGCCGTCACTTCAGAGACGCGGGCAAGAAGAAGCAAGATACTCACTGACGATGTGGATCATGAAGGAGGCGAACACCACGACCCACCCCCAGCCGCCGTCGGGCGGGGGGATGGTGCTGTCCGTGTCGGAGTCGCCATCGTCGTCCTCCGAGGCCCCGGGCCGCTTCTTGGCGGGAGCGTGCGTCATGTCCACCCGCTAGCCCTCCACCGCCTGCAAAAGCGAGAAAAAAAAGGAGAATGAGTCCAGGGCATTCACTATACCAAACCACTGCAAAGCAGTAGTAGTGCCCACCACAACCCACGGCAAACAAGAGTGCGGAGCAAAGAAGCCCCCCGCGCTGGCAGCCAAACAATATACTTTCGCGACTCACACAATGCGTCACAACACACTGCCAGCACGTGCCCCAGTGCTGCCAACCAAGCGAGCCCACACAGGAGATAAAACACAGTGTCGTTTACCACCACTAATGCGTTCTGAACATCCCGGTGCTACACGACCACCAGAAATAGAAATTGCTCAATTTTTTTTCAAGCGACGGTAACTTTATTTATAATGCTATTTTAACGGAAGTTTGTTTTCTACGTTTTATTTTTTGCCGTGCGTGACGGCATACTGGCGACGTGTGTGTGTGTGTGTGTGTGTGCGGCTGGCGTGTGGTGTGGCGATATGATGTACGGACGAACGTGCACAGCTGCAAAGCGCCGCTGTCGTGGCGTCGCGTGGCGCAAGCAAGTGGGGCGGCGTCATAGCCTGCTGAGCGAGCGCGAGGGAAGAAATAACGCAAACGGGGAAACGAAATAATAAAAGGAAATGAAACGAGAGAGAAGAGAACGAGAGTGGCGGGGCAGGGCGGCCTTGAGGGGTCCGCGCGCTGCCCAGTCACTGTCCTCCTGTCCGGCACAGCATTCTTTGCGGCCCCGCCAAAAAAAATACAACAACAAAAAACATTTTGATTAAAAAAAAACAAAAAACCTGCAACCCAATGAAACAAAACCGTCAGCCATTGCATTGCGTGGGAATTAGTATAACTGCTAGCAATATAATATTGCTAATATTGCCAAGCCGCGCGTACAGGTGTAAAAGTGAGGCAATCGAGGGTATGAAAGGGGTAGAGTGGAGAGGCATTGAAACTTTGGAAAGGCTTGCTGGTTGTGGCCACCCTGCTGGTCGCGTCAGCTCCACGGGGTGGGGCCTGCTCCCCTGAATCACGCCCGCCCCACCCATTCACTCGGCCAGCAGACTCCTAACGGGACGAGGCCAAGGGCTGCGTGATCATTTATTATTACCATTACGCTCGGGTATTATTTTCAGATTTTTTTTATTTTTTTGAGAAATAAATTTTTATTTGTATCTCACCCCACGCGCGCCAAGTCGGCCGCACACGACATGCCGCCGCCGCCGCCGGGCGCAGCCGGGTGACGACGGCAAAGCCGTGCATTTCTGTCGCCTGTTTGGCGCGCGAAAACCCCGCGAGCAGAAAGAGTGGCGGCGCCCGACGCCCGGCGCGCGTTGACTGACGCCGCCGGCGCGGGGACAGGACAGAGGCCTCCTCGCGCCCCCCGAAGAACGGCGGCACATTCGAAATTTGAATTCGAGATGCGATTTCGAGTAGGTACCGAGTAACTCGATATATCGAGGCTCGCGATATATCTACAGCAATTATCGAGCCCTCGGTTGACGCGGACACATCGAACCTTCGATTTTAAGATAAATATCTTTTCGGCATCGAGATATCGAGGTATATCGCAAAGCCCTGTCTCCGCCACGCCCGCCCAACGACCGATGCAGCGGCTACACGAGGGCGACCACACCGCAGACGCTTTTACAAGCTGTCCTTTGAATCAAGACGATGATTAAAGAGAAAGAAGAAAAAAACGAGTTGCAATCCACGTAGATTAGTGACACAGCAGCACGCCTTCCTCTATCAAACGACTTGAACAGCTCTACTCTATTAATTCCTAGATAAGATTTACGACACTTTGTTGCAAAACGACATAATGCGGCGAGACACATAGCTAAGAGCACCCCCCCACCCCCACCCCCCGCGCCGGATAGTGACGCAGAGACGACGACTCGATATACCGGAGGAGGACAGGTAGGCCATCATGCACGTCCATCGGTTAGGCCGCCGCTGGCTGCGCGCCAGGAATACACGGCGCACGTGCAGCAGTCAATGCGAGGCCGTGCGAATGCACGACCCGCAAGAAGTGCGAACACGTGCGAGAGTGTGCGGGCGGACACACCTCCACCTCCGCACCCGGACACACTCACCCCCCAGGCTGCGAGACCGCACGTACTCGTTCGGGATTCCGTCCGCGGTGCGCTCCGCTCGGCAGCAAGTGCAAAGCGGGCCACAAGCCCCCCAGCCCCCCCCCCTCCAAACCCTCCTCTCCACGTGCATGGAGGAATAGAAATTGAAAATTAAAACTTTGCCTCGCGCGGCGCTTCTTTCCTCTCGCGCTGCTCCAACCCCGTCCGTGTCGCGCGGTCCGTGCCCGGCGAATGCCTCAGAGAGGAACTCAAGGTCGCGCAGCGGAGAAAGGAGCAGAAAAATAAGGCACGACTTATTTGGGGGAGAAAAAAAAATGGGTGCTGCTAGCAGCCCAGCCCCAGCCGCCGCCACCACAACCACCGGCTGAGTGGGGACCAAGAGCGACATGTTGACGGAGAGGGGAAAAAACTGCACTGTAATGTGAAGTACAGTAGCGGGTGTAACTGAACTTGCAGCAGTGTTGCAAGTTTGCCAACTCTTTACATCCGTACGGGGCCATGGCCCCTGTGGCCATATAGAGTATGCACCAATACGCACAATTACAGCCGGCACGTACATCGAAAAATGTCATTCAAACAATCGATTTGTTTGAACTGCCTCCTTAATTCTACACTCGAGGCATTTTCCGCCGCAAAACAATAAATAACAAATATAATCGCCGTGCCTCCCTGAGAGGTGCGAGGTGCTTGCCCTTCCGTTTTCATATTTGCCGCGCCGGCCGGCCCTTGAACTCATAAGCCACGCTCCCCTCGCTTCCTCGACTTGGCTCCCTTCCCATGCCGCTCACCGGGATCGACCTTCATTTGTTGCGGAGAGAGAGAGAGACAGCTACCTTGGCCATCGTCATCGTCGTGGGTTTCCTTTAATTGTCTCACCGGACGACGCGGACGCGCGCGCCGTGAGCGCTGAGCGCTTCTCGCGCCTCTCTCAAACAGCAACGGCGTCTCCTCCGCTGGCGCGGGTTTACACTTTGCCGCGAATAAAATTAGAAACACCCCAAACAGCTTACTCTTAAGACTCGCGCGCTCCGCCGCCGGCCGCTGGCAAAACTGCAGTATCGGCGAGCACCTGGCAACGAACGTATATATGCGAACGAGAAATGTAAAAGGGCATAGCCCCGCGGCAGAGTTGCAAAACACGACAGCTCTGTTAGCGTGTCGTCAACTTTTCAAAAACGGGCTTCCGAAATAGACAAAAGTGCAGGCGCGGGAATAATGGCAGAGACGAAAACGAAAAGTTAACGCAAACATAATATATCTTTAGGTTGCGCCCAGAGGAGAGCAGAGCAGAGTCGTCTGGGCGTGGCAGCAGAAGAGACACCTCCTGGCCTGCCCTGCCCTCGTTCTCAGACCGGCAGACCCAAATGAGGGATGAGCCTAGTAAGAAGAAGAAAAGAAGATGGTGGCGTAGCGTAGCGCGGACCCATAACAAAGCAGAAAGCTGCATCGTGGAATTGCGATTATATTCAAAGTGGTGTCTTTCAAATTACTTTTAAATATGTACTAGAGTACAACCAATAGAAATATATCCGAGAACTGCTCCAAAACCTCTATTTGGAAGAATTTCGTGACCAGGTTATGTCGCTTTGTTATGGGTCCGCGCTACGCTACGCCACCATCTTCTTTTCTTCTTCTTACTAGGCTCATCCCTCATTGATAAGATGCCCCATCGCAATCAATCAATACCATTGGTGGAATCGAACGAGGTGGTGGTGGAGGTCTCGCCGCGCGATACAAATCCAATTAGGAAAGAGGGGGGGGGGGGACTGCGCTGCCGTAAACCGTAATTGTGTGCGACGTGAAGCAGACGATAAACGTATTCTATAGCTATTGTCGCCACCGAGACACGTCAGCGGCGTGGTACCATTTTGGTTTGTATCGGTTTCGTCGAATTCCAGCTGCCGAGTGCAAAGTTTCCGCCAGGTCCCCTCATGGCATGAGGCTCATGCGCCTTCTGTCTATTCGCTTTCCTCCGCGCGCCCGGGCCGCCTGCTGCACTGCGCGAGCGTGTGCAAATTCCGTTCCCCATTCGACGGCGCGAATCCGATTTCGTTTGTCGCTCGTCGCGCTTCGGCTTCGGCTGCCCGAGCCGTAATCCTTTTCACACAGCGAAAGCGCTTGCGCTCGCGGGAAACACTGCGCCGCCGCCGAGCCGTGCAGCGGGCGTGGCGGGGCGTGGCGAGGCGACCGCGGACTTCATCCCTCCAGCCATATCTATAAATTGGCCGCGCGAAGCTGGCCGCGCGCCAGCCAGGCCAGGGAACCAGGACGACAAGACGGACGGGGCTGCAGGCGGGGCACCCACCAGGAGGCCCCGGCCCGACCCGACGGCCCCCACCGGCCCGGCCCCCGGCGAACACATCGCGCCTGAAGCCGCGGACCTCGCGCGCGAGCTTTGTTTCGTCTAAAGCACCTTAAAGTAGTTGTCTTTCTATCCAAACGACCACCACCGCGTCGTCCATGCTCACTCACGTAAAGTCCACAAGCATGGTGAGTGCGCGGTTAGCGCCTTGCTGCGAAATGAATGAATTATTCAGGGGCCGGACACACATTCTATCTTTTAAGAGGATGGGGTAGATTGTTTTGAAGACGACGCTCCACTTCCGTCGAATAATTCAGGGTTGTAAAAACATGGAGGACTTCGGGGGCCATGATTATGCCATGATAAACGAATGACATTTCTTTCCCCAGGCGGGCGGTCTGGCGGGTAACTATACCATCAGCGTTTTACTACCGCACACAGCCTGAAAATGTAACGCAGTTTGCGCACAAAACCTTTCGTCCGCAGGTTCCTCAACCTCAGCGTCACTAGAAGCAGTATGGGGACAGGGACGAGGGGCGGTGTGGGGCGGGGCGCAGTCGGTGCGGGACAATGGCTCTTCCTATACATCCGCGACATCGGCGCGAGGCGCTAGCGAGGCGCGAGGCGCGCATGCGCG